GCGTAGGGATCGGCACAGCCGGAGCGGCACCCTCGGCCGTGCGGTCTCGATTATGTGCGTCAGCCGTGCCCAGCTCGTCCTCGGGAGCACTCTGCCCAAAAACGTGGTTTGAAAGACTGACAGTTTCCTGCATCTTCCTTCCTCACTTTCCTGCAAAATTCCAACTGCTCTTAAATTACACTTTTCTAATATCTAAGTTCTCTCTGTTGTCATTTAAGTCCCTTGTCGCAAGCAGATATAGAGATCAGCTTGTTGCCTTTCCTCTGAATGAACCCTTCTGTAATCAGAGGTCATGCATCCCATGAGTTATCTTTTCTCTAGACTAGAGAAATCAACTTCTTTAGCTCTTCCGTGTGGGCTGGATTCGCACTGTCTCTCTGAAGTCTCTTCGCTTCTTTAGCCCTTTTCTGAAGTGCTGTGGACTGGACAGTGGACTCCAGCCAACGCTTTACAATGCTGAGTAGAGCATTACCATCTGTCCCCAATATACATATATATGCATATATTTTCTTTTTTTTTTTTTTCTTGCAGTATATCAATGTTCTGTATTAGCAGCCTACCAAAATCCTTTTCAGTGTTGACTTGATTGCAGTGCTAATCATTTCTCATCTTCTGTGTGCACAGGTTATACTTGCAGACATATAGTGGGTTGTGCAAACATACTTGTGCTAGATCCTTTTCTTTGTGAAGGGCATCCTATTATTTTCTGACCCATTCTGTTAAGATTAAAGTGAGATCCTGTTCTCTAAAATGCATGTAGCTCCTTCCTGCATCATCATGTATGCAGATTTTAAACGCTTCATTTTGTCTGCATTTTAACTTCAGTTAGTGATAAAAATATGAAATCACATATGAACCCAGGACTTACCTTTTCTAGTGCGGTCATAAATCCTTGCTAATAACAAGAAATTGGAAAAATGTGTTTCAGTATTTCCATTGTGCAACTGTCGTAAAATCTTTTAAGTAATTTAAGTAAAATTTAAGTAATTTTAACTAAGTTCAGAAAAGATGGTATAGAAAATGTTATTTGACTGTTCTTTATATGACATAATGCTGACCTTTGGCCAGTTGTTTTTGATTTTCTGTTTTTTGTTTGTTTGATTGATTGATTGTTTTCCACCGATGGTGCCTGGTAATTATCCTGTGTATCTTTTCAGGGCGATATTTTCCAAGACGGGCAAAGCGTATGCTTATAGTTGAAGCCAAGTTTGATGGTGAACAGCTGGCTACCGATCCTGTAGAGCACACTGACCAGCCTGAATTTGCCACTGAGTTGGCTTGGGAACTTGATAGGAAAGCACTTCATCAGCACAGGTAGCACTAAAATCTAAGTGCAAAATAAAGTTAAATTGGTTTGGAAATAAGTTTTCTTATCTCTGTCTTATCTCTCAATAGCTATTGAAATATGATTTTTATGTTACTGCCGTCTAAATTTACTTTATTTTTTTAGAAACTGTCTTTTCACTATACACTGGCATACCATATTGTTGCCACAACAAACAATAGTAAATGGCAAGATAAGTAATATTTAAACACCTATTTAAAAATAAATAAAAAAAGAGCTTGAAGTAAAATAATTACACTAAAATTCAAACACTGAATTCAGGTTTTCTTATATATAATGTGTCATGAAGCAGAATATGATTGGGTTAGCTTCATACCTCAAGAGCCGACTTAAGATATTTTTGAGTACATCTATTAGAAGAGCTGAGAAATTGAATTTGTTTTCCATAGCTGTCACTTGGTACTCACCAAAAATATGAATGTAATATTATAGTTCTGTCCCTGGTATGCTCCTTTGCATGGCAATATTGGGAAGCTACACTCAACAGTGACAAGTATATGGATAGTCCTGCTGCACAGCTGTTGCTCAGATGCTTTTGCCAGGAGTCGTAAAGGTGCCATTAACTTTATGAGGAAAGAAAAATGTCAGAGATTACCTTATGCTAAAGATCTTGTCTCTGCTTCTCTATTTTTTTACTTAAGTCTTTCACATCAGTCATATGTTTAAGATGCCATCACAAGTGAAATACTAATTTTATATGAATTGCTGTACCTACTTAGATTAGAAAGAATTTATTTGTCACTACTTTTCCTTTTATAAAACTTACCGATTTGTTAATTCTAATTTACTTAATGCTTAATTTTTAGGAATTTGTTGTAAATTTAGATGCAGACTTATCAGAACTAGTTACATTACAAATGTCAATAAATTGTATATTGTCAATATGCTTGAAATTTGTAAATTAGTTTTGTGAGCTAAGTGTAGTAGCAGAGATTATGTTTACATTTTTAATTTCAATCAAGTTATTCTTACAGGCTGCAGCGTACACCTATCAAACTCCAGTGTTTTGCACTGGATCCTATAACTTCGTCTAGAGAGAACATTGGCTATATTATACTTGATTTAAGAGCTGCCCAGGAAAGGAAGCAGGTATGTTATTCACTCTAAAACTATTACAAATGAATGCTTTGACATGCTTTTACAAGTATAAGAGAACTTGACAGAAGGAATGGTGTAACTTTGGGGTCGTGTTTTGAAAAAAAATGACTTTTGTTTGATTACTCTATTTCAAACTCTTTTTTTAAAGACAAAGATTGTAGCTCTCCATGTAAGGATATGGGCAAATGAAAATGCTTCTATAGTCATCATTTAAATATGATGACTATAGCAAGCAACTTAAATTGCTTCTACAGAATGAAAAAGATACCCTGGAGATTTTCTTAAGTTCTTACATTTTCAGATTTTAAAAGCGAAGCATTTTTAGCTACACTGTTAACTGCCATGACTTAACTAACTGGAAAAATTGTCTAAAATTTGTCCAAATAACTGTTGAGCTCTTGAGTGTTCACACTCAAACTTTAGGGTGTGGGGTTTTTTTTTTAAGACAGTGAGAGAAAGAAGTCTTAATAACGGGCCTCTTTGGAAGATTTCTTGTGTTATCATAAGCTATACTTTGGACACAGTTCTGAAACACAAACTAAGTGATACTAGATGAATGTAACCTCAATGAACCACATGTTCTAGCCGCTTAACAGTGTGGAATCAATAAAATGTAGTTGTTTATGTAAGTCTATTTCATCCAAATACTATCCAACTTGTTCAAAACATAACTAGATTTTCTAGGACCCTGCTTTCTTACTTTAGCATCATAAGACATAGGGATTACTGACCCATGTAGTTTCATATGCAATCTTTCAGCTGAGAACCTTCTTTTTTTTAAATTAAGAATTTATAGAGTGTTTTGCTTGCTGGCTTGTCTAATTTGCCAGTCAGTGGAAAAGAATAGGTTCAGTTATTGTTCTGGGAATCATTTTAGAAAATCTTTGTTAAAACACTATTAACTCATATTTTGAAGTATCTGTTGAGGTACTTTCCTGTAAATCATGTGGTGGGAAAGCAAGTAAATTGATTTATTTTGTAACTGTTACTATTATATTTTTTTTCCTGTTTTTTTTTCATGTATTTGATTTTTATTTGTCTTTGGTTTCTTTTTTTTTGATTATGTAGACACCAAAATGGTATCCTTTACTTAGTAACAAATACACTAAATTTAAATCTGAGATACAAGTAGGTGTTGTGTTGGAAACTGATACAAAAGCAGTTGTGGATGGTTTTAAAGCAAAGGAGGCACCTCCTAGAGAAGGGAAAGGTAAGTAACAGAATAAAAATATTACTGACTTTTAATTCAAAAGGATGTTGTACAAGACGAGTATAGTGCTTTTTGCAAACACCGTGTTGTTTTGAGCCAGAGTAGCACAAATAATTTACAGTCAGTTAATGTATCTTGTCATGATGGGTATAAACTCTGCTGTAAGGATGCTTTGCTTTGCAACTCTGTCCACCTGAAAGTCACACAAATTGCAAACTAGCGTACCTTTAAGACTGAGGGAATTGGGGATGTGTAATTACTACTGCCAGCATTTTAGTTACAGTTCAAGGCTATGGAGAGTTCTGTAACTAAAGAAAGATGAAAGGATCTTTATCGGGTGTGGTTCTAGTAGTGCAATTATTGAGTAGTGCAGCTGAACTATTCTAAAGTAGTATTATAATATTATAAAGTAGTGCAATAGTTCAGAAAAAGAAGCAGGCCTACCAATAAATTCATTTTGTAAACTAAACCATTCAATACTTAAATCATGTTACAGTGGTAATAAATTTTTCAGGACAGGTCCCCTTCAGATTAAATGCTAGAAGTCATTACACTTCTGAATTCTGTCCTACACTTTTCTCCAGTTGAATTAGTGAGATGTGTCAAGTGGAAAATTTTGAGAACTAAACAGTAGAAATTGGTTTGTGTATTGTATATTCCATTGGAGACATATTTGTCCTCTGATGCAGTAATATAAATGAAGAAATCTAGATGGGCAAATGTAAACTTTTTGATACAGTGAACTCACCATGAGTGAGCTGGTCCACAAGATCTATCTAGTGACATATTTTTAGCTCATGCACGAGGTGAATTCAGCAAAGGGCTATAGGCACTTGAAATACCATGAGTTGTTGTAGGCTAACTTCATTAAAATAGCTGTGAGCATGTTTTAACTTTTCAGAGATATTAGAATCCAAACTAATGAAATTAAGTTCCAAGTTTTTAACAATCACTGTAATATAAAACTAAAATGTACACTAATATTCTGGACATAATTATCTTCAAAACACATTTGTTCTCATTGAATTGAAATTAATCTGGGAGGGTTGTAGCTATAATTAGGGGCTGAGGTTTTTATGCTGAAATGCTGTGGAAGCAAACATCCAACTTTGTACTTGCAGAAATAAGACTAAAATATATTTATATATGATTACAAAGAAGCAGTGATTGAGCACAACATGCTAAATTATTCTTTCTTTATTTTATTTAACTTCTCATTTCTTAGTATCTAGTCTTGTTTCTGGACTGGACCCTAAAAGTATTGTAGCAGTCCTGAATGAGGAAGAGGGCTATCATCAAATTGGACCAGCAGACTATTGTAAAGACTACTTTGTTTTATCTGTAACTATCGCATTTGCCACACAACTAGAACAGGTTTGTTTCCTTACTGCATTTAACTTTTAAGAAGTAATGTGCTACCCTTGTGTTCTGACATTTCTACCTTAGTTTTTTTGTTATCCTGTAAGTCTTCTGCACTGAATAGTCTTGTCTGCTCATTGAATTGATATAGATCAATTTGAATTTTAAAACATTATGTAGTGTCTACACTTCAAATTATAGGTGAATATTATTCTTTTAGGATACTTAACTTCATGTTTTTATAAACTGTGCATTCCTGTAAAAGTTGTATGTACAGATGTGTGGGATGGAGTTGGAAGCAGTGGGATGGGATGGATATGATGATAATGCCTATGTTAATAGGTCTGGTTTGGTAAAGGGAATGGAATTATGGGTTGCTCATAATTGGTAGGGAGTGGGTTGAGCTGGGGGATTATATAACTTGATGTCTAGGCTGCATTGTTTATTGAAACTATGAGTATTATGTAAAAGCACTACTGTTTATTTCTGAGTATTTCCTTAGTGCCAGACTTTACTGAGAATTTGATGCTGTTACAGCTTTTGGTGCTGATACTTCACAAACAAGCCACTAACTTTCAAATTGGATCACTTTCAATTATCTGTAAGATGCAAGATTTTTATTCAACTTGAGAAATAAATTAAAAGCATTTGCATTTTTTTAATGTACTACAAACTGGGATTGACATCAGCTGCTCTGAAGCTTGACATTTTAAGCTCTTTAATTTCCAAGATAATACTTATGGCTTAATGTAACCATATATTAATGAAAAAGACATTCTACTTTTACACTTTTTTTTTTTTAGTTAGTTCCTAGTGCAATGAAGATTCCTGAACGACAACCTGAGTTTTTCTTCTACTACTCTTTGCTGGGAAATGATGTCACAAATGAACCTTTCACTGATTTAATTAATCCAAACTTTGAGCCAGAAAGAGCTTCAGTCCGAATACGTAGCACAACTGATGTCCTCCAGGTTTATTTTTGCGCACAGTCAAAATTGCAGGTAAGCTGTTTCTTTTCAGACATGATTATGTAAATGAAATAAATTTCCCCTCTCAGGTTGAAACTACACAATTTCAGGTTTCCAAAGCTAGACTATATATATGCTATTTTTAGCCCAAATATAAAGCAATTCTTCCTCTGAAAACCACAAATGCTTTGATGCAAACCCTATTAGCAAGTTTCTCAGAGAGAGCATGATCTCTTTAATATGGCAGCTGTAGCAAGCTAGTGCAATTATAGGTCGTGATAAAAAGCATTGCTGAAGTGTGGTACTCTAATGGGCTGCCTTAGCAGCCTCAACAGCACTGGGACCTTCTCTGGAGGCAGGCTATGTACAATCCATGCAATCCACAGTCCTTTGCACTGTCAGTGATAACCTTACCAGCACCTTGTGACCTTACAGCTGAGGTCACTGTAGTACCTTGCAAATTCAATGTTGTCAGCACTATTTGCAAATAAAAAAAGGTTCTGGATTTTTTTTTTAATTTGTCACTTCCAAATATTAATTTCTAAATTAAACTCTAGCCGTATATTTGGTATGGGATATTCCTTATGTTTAGCCTCGTCTTTAAACTTAGGGTAGTATTTTAAGAGTCTGTGGTGATCTGCTTCTGGCTCACATTTAACTGGCTGCAAAATAGGGCACAATTTTACTGAGAACTGTAATGGAATTTTTAGTAAGAGAGCTGTTAAGTAAGGCAAGTGTTAGTTATAGAATATGTCTTGGATGTGGATTGTTTTAAAAGTTTTTTGTTGTTGTTTATTTCTTTTTTCTTTTGTCCCTTTACTAGGTTATAGAGTTTAAACTTACATCAGTCATTTTAGCTTGTAAGTTTGTCTGTTAGTTTAGAAAAAGAACTGTTTCAGAATTTTATGTCTGAAAGCTTGTGAAAAAAGGAATAATTTCTTACCAGGAATTAAGAACAAAATTTATTTCTGGCTGTTAAAGTGAAATGTAAATATATATGTAAACTTTCTGAACTTTCAAATAATGTGAGATATATATATGTTTCCTTCTTCTCTGTCTTGTAAAGTATACCATGACATTTATACCATATGCAATCCATACTGTTCTTTAAAGGCACTTAAAATTTTGAATTTGTTATCCAGAAAAAAATTGACAAGTAACCTACAATGATCAGCTACTACGCTAGCACTGTGGAAATCCCCAGCTGCCAAGATTTCATAGCTCTTTTTATATTACTCCAATCCTGTTCTATGCAACCTCCAGCAGAGGGCCAACTTCAGACATCTGAAATGGAAATAAACACCTACTGCTTTCTAACACTAATCCATATACAGATCCATCTTTGCTGTGGGGACCAATCTCTTGGAAGCACTGAAATACCATTGTCTGGACTGCTGAAGAAAGGAAATGCAGAGATCAGTCAGCACCCTGTAGCAGTAGAAGGAGCATTCATCCTCGTGCCACCAAATAGAGCTAAACAAAACCTGCCACAGTTGCCTTTGGATATGGCTCCTACTGTTGGAGTGTCTATAGTTCTGCAGAAGGAAAGCCTATGTGCCCAGGTATAACTCACTAATTTATTTTTCGTTTAGATATTGTACAGGTTTTTGTTTGTTTGATATTTCTAAATCATATGTGGCACTGAAATATAAACAGAAGTTACTGAAGGAATAAGTCATATGAATCATCTTTTCATCACTTCATTTTTATCTGTACCCAAAAGTAATACCAAACCATCAAATTGTTGTAGACAAAATTTTTCAATGCAAGCAATGATAAATAGGAATATTATATCATTTCATTCAGGCTTTTGTCCCCTTAAATGCTCCAACTGAGCCTGAACACCCACAGAAGAAAGTTCTTTCGCCTACTAGAAGAAAAACAGAAGGCTTGGAGCAGAGATACCAGAATGTCCCATCTCATGTTGAGCAGTCTTCTCCCACAGAAGATGAAGCAACAGAAAGTGAAATGGAAAGTCTTAAGTTTGACAAAGTTAGGAAACCAAATAAAAATGGTATGTGTTTTATACTTACATGTGCGTGTGTGCATATATATCTGTATATACACAAACATATGCATGTTTATATATATATACTTTTTCCCCCTATTTGTGATTTCCATCTTGAATCACTTACTACTTACATGTGGTCATGTGTTTTGTGCAAGTAAGAACTATTTACACGGAAGAATTAGCAGTAAGAAAGCAAGTGATATAATTTGAACATGGTAGTTGTTAAAAACAATTGTAAGAGCCAGGTTGGGGACAGAGTTCCATAGATAACAAGCGATTTGGATGGTCAGCAACATAAAATACAATATCAGCAGTGTTTGGAATTTTCTTGAGAATGGGAAGGTTCGGTACAAAGACATGAAGAAACTGATCTGTCTGAGCAAGAGATGAAGTGATCCAACGTTCAGATTTATTAAGTAGGAAAGTAGAGGAAATGCAGGTTTTTAAGAGTGAGGTTAAAATTTTTAAGTAGCTTTCTCTATTATGTACCATATTCAACTGTGAATGCAAAAACATTTGTACTGTACAAATTCCTGGACAAGGACAAGCAGGTTGGTTTTGTGTTGTTTTTAATATTGATCTCTATGTAGGACATGTGGAGTTGGTGACCCCCAGAGCTATTCTAAGGTTTTTTGCTTGTTTGATTTTAACTGAAGAGCCAGGATGGGGCATGAAGATGAGAGGGAAGAAGTGCTATGATCAAAGAGTAAAGGCCAGAAGAGAAAATGTATTTGTTAACTTCGTCTTCAGTAATGTTCAGCAAAGAAAGCTGAATGGTTATATTCTAATTATGCTTCTATTACTGGTCTTTTGAGATTGGTCCTATAGAGGCACAGTTCTGTAGAGGAAATCTTAGGACTTACTGCTAAGACAAATTGTGATTTGCCTGCTAACTCAGAAAGAAAAATTAATTATAACAAGCCTTATCTAAGCAGGGCTTAAGCCCTTTTTTTGAAACATCAAGAACGTAGAAAGAAAAAATGTTATGGTCACAGAAGTGAATATTAATCTGTAGTTAAAAGTCTTCGGTTGCTTTATTTATTATTTCATATATGTATTTAAAATGAAAAACATTATCATTTCGTAACTATCTTTCAGGGCTGGTGGCAGAGTCATGCAAAGAAGTTGACAAACAGTACATTGAAGAGCTACCACTTTGCAAATCCCAAAGCAGAGCAAAGTCACCTTTATTGGCAGAGCTGCAGAATTCCAGTAAAGTGAAATTGTTTTTCGAAATTAGTAGATCAAGTGAATTTGAGTAGAGTAGTAGCTTAGATACATTTTTAACTATAGGCTAATTGCAGTTTTGTATTCCTATGTTATATATATTATTTTTAATTGAAACTGATGAATGTTTTTTAAATTCATTCCTATGTTATGCTGACTAGTTTTCCTGGAGTATTACATATTATTCTGCTCTTTATATATTTTTCTCTTTTTTATGTATTATATCCATCATCAGAAAAAAATGAAGTGCCAATACTAGCAACAGTGTATTCTTTTAAATGGCACTAAAGCATTTACGATGATTATGAAGAGAGACCATTAGAACAGTGGGCAGTTATAAAAGACAACCAACCAGTTCTCTGACAGTTTCTTAGCCTTTCCCTTTGTTATACAATATTAAACATTCTTGGAGGATGACTTTCAGAGACCCTGTCTGTAAAACTTACAGTTTGACTTTAAAGGCAAAGTTGGAGTTCGAGGCACCAATGTAAGGGCTTGAACTAGCTGGATCTTTTCCCATACTTACTGTTGCAATTGGATAGGCTATCCAGTGAGGCTGATGCTCTCACTGAAGCGTCTGTTTTCTGCTTATAAAATGGTTACAGTGAAAAGTATTTTTTTAATGAGTAGATGTGCTATTTAGAGACCTGGCTATAGCTTTCAGTAGTTAACTTTCTGTTTGGGAACAGAAATTGCAACTTCCTTACCCGCGTCAATCCTTGGTGCTTCTTCCGTGTGTTCTTCCTAGACTCAAGTGGTCTAGGAACAGATTCATAAAATTTTGAAAGGGAAGACTAAAATGCTACAGCATTCCTTTGAAGAACTGAATAGTTAGATGTTTATTTTTTTTCTAGCAGTACATATTTATATAGCTTTAAAAATAAAAGTTATTGAGGAAAATAGTCCTACATAAAATGTGTGTGTGTGTGTACATACACTCATATTTATATGTGGGGGGTATGTGTGTGTGTGTGTGCATATATATACACCTATATATATCATCAATTTACAAGTGGAATGACAATTTTTTATATTTACTATTAACCTATATTAGAAGGAATAGAAATACTTTGGGAAACATCTTGCATTTAACATGTGAGGCACATCTGTAATATGTTGTAAAAAGATTACAAAAACACATGCGCAAATACCTCTATTTCATTTTCAGACGAGAATGCTCCGGTACCTGTATCTCAGTCCAATCCCGTGGGTGCATCAAGTTCTTCAGAGCCTGTCTCAGCACAGAGAATTGTCATTCCGGCAGCCTCTCACCATTTTTGCTTTTCAATAGATTTACGAAGTATACGTGGTCTGGAAGTTGGGTTTCCAATAAATTGCATTTTAAGGTATGATTTATTTAGTTTGGTTTTATTCTGGGCAGTAACAGCATTTTTCAATACAAAAAAAAATTCTAATTTGAACTATTAGTGGCAACACACTGCCTGATGCTTTTCATCTTTATGTAGCTGCTTGTCAGTGGCCAAACATTTTGAAGCAGTCAGCTGGCTCATCACTCAGCTTCTCAGAATAGTAGCATTAAAGATAATGTATAACACTTCACCTGCACTGGAGCTTTCATTAAGTCTCACTTGAGGACCAAGTCCAGGCAATACAGATGACTCTTCAGCCATTAGAGGAAAAGGAACATTACCTTGCTTTTTAGCTACTTTTCCAACTCATTGGAATGATTTCTGTAGCTTCCATTTCTCCACAGAGCTACTAGTTGTCTTATCATAAGCTATAGATAAACTTGTGGATTGTCTGAGATACTGAATCTAAAGGAAGCACACATAAATCTTAAAGGGAAGAACCAGTGTAGCTTCATTTTGAGAGTCAGTGTCATTGATTTTTTTTGTTGGTCTCTGCATACCACAGACAAAACTTATTATCTGGGAGAAGTCGTATCTGTTAATAGATTGACTTAAGAGTTTAGAAGAAAGAAGAAAAGCTTTTGGATATGTGATCTTTGTGTCTGAAGCAAAAGCAACAAGCTTCACCTGCTAATTTGGAACAATTGCTTAGAGATTAGTTTGATTACATTACTTCCTGTTAATGTGAAAGAAAAATATGGTAGTATTTCTGAAACATAAGCAGGTGTTAGCAGGGAGAAGGATCACAACAATCAATGCACCATTATTTATGTTACTAGTAACTTAGTTAAGAGCACCAATTTAATAATACAGGGTTTTTTGTTGCTTGGTTTTGTTCTGAGAGCAAGGCCAGTACAAGAAGCCCTTGGCTTCCCATTTGTAATTTTATCATTCAACGAGTTGTGCCAATAGAGTTGCTTATCAGGGCATATTGTAAATTGTATAAGAAAAGCTACCTGATTTATTATAAGAAAGTCACTTCTGACACTGGCTAAAGGTATACCTGGTTATCAATTACTTCTTGTTAAGCCAAGCAGGTAGCGTTAGTTACAAGTATACTTACAATCTGAGTATAATACTCCATAATTTTTATCTAGAGTGAGAAATGGAACTTTAACAAAGATTGGTTTCTACAGTCCTGAATGTCAGCATTGACATTTTCATCAAGGTAACCACAAAGTAGTCCCCCCCAAAATTTTTTTTGAATATTTGAGAGCAAAATTCCACTGTTAGATGTATTTATGCCACTTCCATTGACTTCAATGCAAATTGTGCCCCAATAAGACTTCTAAGTTGTTTTTCCTGTTCTAGGAGTATAAAAAATATATATATATGTTTGTTTGTTTGTTTTCTTTTTTTCATTAGGTACTCGTATCCCTTTTTTGGCAGTGCAGCACCTATTATGACAAACCCACCTGTAGAAATCAGAAAGAATATGGAAGTTTTTCTCCCCCAATCCTACTGTGCATTTGACTTTGCAACAACACCTCATCAGCTTCAAGACACATTCTTCAGGTGACAATTTACTTTTTTTTGTCTTAATTACACTAAAAGTCTTTTATCTCAGGTTTTATTGCAAGTTCACTTCTTTCAGTTTAGCTCTTCAGTTTGAGAATTTACTTAAGTCGATAAATTAAAAAGGCACTTCTATTTCTATATAAATAGTTTTGTTTATCTTTTTAGTATTTGACTATCCAGTGTCTTTGAAATACAGTAAGTACTAAGAAATTTAAATACACTGATGAAACTGTTGATAGGGGATTAAGACGTAGAATAAAGCAATCATCAGACTAGTGTTATTTTGAAAGAAAAGGCAAAATGAAGAAATTCTGTGAGAGGTACTGACTGTGTCATATTTATATGCGTTTATGAATGGACAAGATTAGAGGCATAAAGAACTGAAAGAGGGAATGCTGACCTAGGCAAAGTGATAAAACTCAATCAATCAGTCTCATTCCCCTCTGAATGAGAGGCAGTACCCATGTTATTTTTTGACAGCTATGACCAGGGTGGATTGGGATGATGTGTTCAG